CCCTCTGCTCCTCATGGAATTCTCTCTCTCCCCCCCCTCCTCCCTATCTGCTCCTCATGGAATCTCTCTCTCCCTCTCCCCTTCTGCTCCTCATGGAATTCTCTCTCTCTCTCTCCCTCTGCTCCTCATGGAATCTCTCTCTCTCTCTCTCTCTCTCTCTCTCCCCCCCCTCTGCTCTTCATGGAATCTCTCTCTCTCTCTGTCCCTCACTTAACTTGGGCCCTTTCTGTCTGTCTTTCTCTCTCTCAAAATAAAAAAAAGAAAAAACTTAAAAGTGCCAAGTTTGCTTCTCGGCTTTTTGGCAAAGATGGAGCGGAAGGAGCTTGGAGAAGGGGTCGTGGGGGGCATTTCTGGGACAGAGCTGCCCAACGTGGCTGAAACTAGGGGGCAGAAGTGGCACCCACAGGGGGTCCCTAGGGGGCTCAGTGAGTTAAGCGTGGGACTTTGGCTGAGGTCATGATCTCACAGTTCATGAGTTTGAGCCCCTCGTCATTAGGTTCTGTCCTGACAGCTCGGAGCTTGGAGCCTGCTTCGGATTCTATGTCTCCCTCTCTCTCTGCCCCTCCCCCACCTGCGCTGTGTCTCTCTCAAAAATAAACATTAAAAAAAAAAAGAAGTGGTACCCACGCTACGGGAAACTTGTCCCATTGTAACCAATTTCATGTGATGATGTCTTTTAGGCAGAAATGAAGTATAAAGCAGATTGACAAAGAGACCAAACACAGTGCATCTGCACACGGAGCCGCGAGACCTTCTCATGTAGAAGAGGGAGGATGCTGTGCGCTGATTTGCAGGCAAGTGCATGTTACCTGACGGCCGCCACTCCTGTGGAAGACCGGTTTCGGCCCCTGACAGTCATGACTGATGGTGGTGGTGCTTGTGTGGCAGAATTCACCCCCTAGAGTTCAGAGGTACCAGAGAAGCCACGGCTGGGGTGGGGTGGGGACAGAGCATGGAAACACCACCGAGATTAGAGATGAATCACTCACTTCCAGCACAAGATGGCCTTTTGTTATTTTAAAGCGCCTTTGAGTAAAATATTCGGCTAATTCAAAGTTCAGTCTGTCCGTCAGGACTGTCGTTCCTCTCTCAGAAGGCCAGTCTTCCTCCTTCACAGGACAGATCCTGTGCACAAAAGAATCGTACGTGCTTGGGGGTTGGGAGACAAGGGGTCCAGCCCGTCTCAGGTGGAGGTCCAGATAGAGAGGACGTGGAGGTCGTACACCTGCAGCTGAGTCCGCTGACCTCTGTCCTCACCACCCGACTCCCTGAGCCCTGGGCTGATGCCGCTGTGGCCTGTGCTGTCCTCATGGCACTTGGTTCTGGCTGTCACCCCCCACCCCTGCTCCGGCTCCCACATGTATCATCTGGGTCTCCCCGCTCTCTGCACCCGGCCTGGCTCCAGCTGGCCAACTGAGGCCTCTGCCCTTTGGCCCACACAGACCTCCCGAAAGGGTTCTCGCTCTGCTATGGTCGAGTCCTCCACGAGAGTGCTGGAGAATCTTCATCTCCCCGATGCTGGAGGAAGAAGCAATCTCTAGCATCCTCTCTGCCCACACGTGCCAGATCGCCATCTCTCCTCTGTTGTGTTCACTCCTGTTAAGCGGCCCCCCTTCTGAGAACAATCTACCTGAGATTTCTCCCTTTCTTCAATATCTACCCGCAGACTTCTTTCTTTACATAGCTTTAGTGCTGTACGATTCACTTGCCATGAAATTGACCCATCATAATGCCCAAATTAGCACATTTTCATGAATGCATAGGGTGCACAGCCATCACCGTGGGGCAGGGGCAAGCGCAGGCACTTGCACCTAAGGTTCCCTCGCGCTCGTCTGTAGTGGGTCTCATTCCCACCAAGTGCCAAGCAGAAGCACTCCTGATGCCAGGATGTCAGAAGGGGCACTTAACCAGCTTTTCCACTAAGGCCAACCAAAAATCAGCACTAGGTTCGTAAGGAATGATAATCTGTATGAAAAGTACCAGACCAAAATGTAGGAACAGGTGGGAACCTACTCAAAAAAGGTAAGAAAGGTTCCCCAAACTGCTTTGGCCCTGAGGATATTTGCCCAAAGGAACAGACAGCCGTGAGCAGAACTGGGGTTTGAGTGGCTTCTTAGAACAAGGCAACTAAAGCAGCCAGTGGCCCACCTGTCAGGAAACCTGAGGAGCACCACTGTCCCCTCTTTCCTTTGGGACCCTCAGGAAAAGCTAACGTTTCTCCAGATTTGCAGCCCAAGTATTACGAGGAAGCTGAACCCTTACACTTGGGTAACCGGTCATACAAGACCATCAACATGCAAGGGAACAGGACAATGTGAGACGTGAGCGGAAGAAGCTGGAAACATTGGACAGACTCATAAACACTTCGTTTATTGAAATTATCATACATTCTGTGAAACTTTTTTAATCTTTAAAATAACTGAAAGGAATCAGACACTAAAAAGTGAGGAGACAGATCATAAAAAGAATTAACTAGCACCTCTTGAGCAGAAGACATAGTAACTAAAACTTAAATTCCTACTATGCATTTTATCCAGTGTTTTTGGTAACCTTTCCCAAATTCTCATCTTTCCTTTTGTTCTCCCTATTATTCTATCCTCCAGCCTCACTAAATCTTGAATTGCAAACACAAGGAGCAGGGGGTACAGTTAATGTGTCTGCACATAGCTTCTTATTTGGTGGTTTATTAGTGCTCTTCCTAAAAATGTACATCGAAACTGTTTATTGGAAGGAAATAAAATAATCTATCTCAAAACCGGGCAGGGATTCTGCATTTATTAGGTTGCTTTCTGTTGTACATCACAAAAACCCATCTTGAGCTTAAAACATAAAAGAAAATCATTCTGACAACACCATATTCTCATGGAATCCAAGTACAGAATTGTTACGTGACCTCGGAATAAAACTTGGAAAATGGACTCAAATATTATTCCTTCTCTCACTCCCCTCTGTCCCCCACGCTTGTTTCTCTTAGGTTCTCATCCTCACTGTCCTTTGGAGAAAGAAAATGACCTCATACCCCCTTATCTCAGATCCATCACCCCGGTCCTCTGGCCAGGGCAGGGGCTGTACTGTCCCCAGAGAGAGCAGGAGATGGGAAAACAAAATATTAGTCATTCACTATTGTGACAACACTCGTAAGTGTTAAACTCATAAGGTTCATCTGTAGTTTCTGTAGGTCTGAGAAATTGTATCCATAA